GTCAACCTTGAGCCGGTGAGATTTGAACCGCCGAACTGCAGTTAGCAGTCAGCTGAAGTGGCCTGCAGTACTGCACCCTAACCACTGTGCCACCTTGGCTCTTCTCCTTATATTGGGTGCATGTGTAAAAACCAAGCTAGGACTTATTTTTGGGGAAACACGGTATTACAAATGTGAAAATTATCTATTGAATTCTAACTGATAACATGGCCTAGGTTGTTGAATTCTATTTTTCATCCCTATCACAGTAATCCTTTTATGGAGAAACATTCCCGTAAACAGAATATCTTATATCGCCGGGTAGCCGGGGTCGGGGGGAATCACATATAAGTAGAAACTAAATTCAGTGTATTCTAGCGCAAGTTTAGAAAACTATTTAATTTCTCTTGGAGTAAAAACCTTTAGATTATTAAAACCACAGTGAAAATCTCATAGATAAATATTTTAATGCCTTTTCTATTTAGCTTAGAAAACCATAGCCTTCTTTTAAAGGAAAGCAGCCATTTTGAACAAACTTTGTTCTATGTTTTGCGAAATTAAAAAATGAAGGCTACATTGTCTGCTTTAATAATCACGGTGATAATATATTGTGTATAATAAAGCTTTATTTAAACGAAGTAACTGCACTGCATCACTGACATTTTTAGTGAGATACTTTTAGTCAATCCTTTTGGCATACAGCAATTTTCATTTCTACGGTAGAAGAATGTAATCTTTTTTAATTTCTCCTACCCTGTAGTTCTTCCCTTCGGCGTACAAAAGGTTATTTTTTTCTATTTGAAACTGAAGAGTCTCACCTGGTCTTGCCTTTCATCCTCCTCTCTGAAACCACTGCTAAATCTCAAGCTGAAAATCTTTCCAAAAAGTGACTCATCAGTTGGAAATTGTGCCCTGCTACTCAGGAGGCGGTTTGCAAACATAGCAACTGCATTTTGTTTGCCAAAAAATAAATGGGAGCCCTTCCTGTCAATCCATGTTGGAATGAGGCCCACTGCAGTCATAATCATTGGCAAGGAATTGTTTTCAAACCAAACAAGTTCTCATTTTCAATTTCCATACCTGGTGTATGGGTGAGGCCCTGGGTTTATTTTACACCATTACGGGCAAACCTCAACCAGAGTCCAGCTGTGGTCTTTATAGGCATATGATATTTGATTTGATTTGATGTAATAAATTTATAGGCCGCCCAATCCCAAAGGACTCCGGGCGGCTTACACAAAATAAATTTTAAAAAATGAAAAGTTAAAAGAACGGAGGAAAAGAGATTAAAAAACCACATCATGCACCCAGTCTAATCGGGGCTGGACCTTGATCAAGAGGTCAACAACCCCAGGCCTGCTGGAATAGCCAGGTTTTGATAGCCTTTCGGAAGGCCATGAGAGTGCGTAGGTTTCGGATCTCTGGGGGTACTTCCTTCCATAGGGTTGGAGCGGCTACAGAGAAGGCCCCCCCCCGGGGGCGCCCCCAGCCGACATTGTCTGGCTGACGGCACCTGGAGAAGGTCCACCCTGTGCGATCTTATCGGCCGTTGGGAGGAAGCAGCAGAAGACGGTCTCGCAGATATCCGGGTCCTAGGCCATGTAGGGCTTTAAAGGTAATGACCAGCACCTTGAATCGCTCTCAGAGACCAATAGGGAGCCAGTGCAGCTCGCGGAGGATAGGTGTAATGTGGTTGTATCTTGGCACACCCAGTATTGCTCGCGCGGCTGCATTCTGGACTAATTGTAGTCTCCAAACACTTTTCAGGGGCAGCCCCAGATGGATGTATAGGCAAGACGGATAAAGAAACAAGCAGACAGAAATGGAAAATGGTGTTGTTCCTATCTCTTCCCTCTTACTTTACCCTACTCCACTGCTGTCTAAGTTTTGCCATGTCATCATCCTAGGTTATAAGCAAAAGGCTAGCTCTTCTTTTTCCCAAGTTCTAATTTAGCACTGTTTTTAACACAACACTCAAGGAAAAACAAAAACACCACAAAGATTCTGAATTCTGAACTAGCTATTGCT